AAGAGGGCAACAATAAAGTCCTCCAATACCAATTTGGCAAGTGTATCCGGCCTAAAATGCATTTCTTTGCTTAAAAATCATTGCAGTGCTTTCATGTGGTGAGACGGGACAATAGAATCCCCTTTGTAAAGCTTGCATTTTATAGTTAAGAAGCATATGTGATACCAAAACATACCTTGGGGCATGGTGCTCCAAGTTGTGGACACCGCATATATTCTCCATCAAGAAGCATTGGGAGGACGTCTTCTCCACATCGGAGTCTAGAGTCACTGAAAGCAATCAGAGTCTTATTTTGTATTTGTATGGCTCAATTAGCACAGTTAAACAACAATTACCTTGTAGTGAACAGAGGCGCAACTGTGGTAGGTGGGACCCTCGGTTTAGGTAGCTTCGAAAAATTGATGGCTTTAATAAGGCTGACAACTTCTTTTTTGATAGGAGGGATCTGGCAGCAGAGGTAGTCGTCACGATTTTCGTTCTCAATGCATTCAAATCCCTCTTCGCAGGTCAGTGAAATCGGTGAACACTTGGATCCGCTGATAAATTGATTGAATGATATTATCACTTCTTCAAATGTCCTTTTTTGATCTTTGACATGATGACCTTAGTCATGACTCGTCAACGTTGAGGGATATTTACGGAGCAAAAGATTTGAGAAACGAGTTCAAGATGATTGAGATATTTCTGGTCTCTTTCTCTACATTGATAAATATGACCGATGGTAGTCGGCATGAGGTCTCTGAACGAATGATGTTCTCCTTAAAGTCTTGCAATTTTTGATCGTTTTTGAAAGTGTGAAAACGAGCGCAAATAAAGCAAGTACCACATTGTAGTTCGCTTGAAAGCATATGTAGTAGTGCAATGGTAACATTTGCGGTATCCTAGCAAGGAAGAGAACATTACTACTTGATGGATAAGTTATGTAAGCCAGAGGCTCGTACATGTGTTTGCAAATTAAAAGCAGAGCAAATTTTTCATAAAGTTGTTCATTGCAAACTTCAGCTCTTCACCTTCTGCCGGATTACAATTTTTCATAATATTTCACTGCATTATGCAGAGGTAAAATACTCTTTACCCATACTCAATTCTAG